TCCGCCTCAGCCTTCCGAGTAGCCGGAATTACAGGCATGCGCCACCACACCCAGCTGATTTTTTGATTTATTGTAGAGATGAGGTCTCGCTGCCCAGGCGGGTCTCGAACCCGCGGGCTCAGGCAATCCACTCACCTCAGCCTCCCAAAGGCGCGGGATTACAGGCTGAGCCACCGAACCCGGCTATTTTTAAGGTTTTTAAAAAATAAATCTATATAGCATTTCCCATAGAGTTGCACTAATTTATATTCCTACCAAAAGTATATTATCATTTCCATTCTCTTTTCTCTGCTTCCTCACCAACAGCTGTTGTTTTTCTTTTTAATAATAATCATTTTGACTGGTGTAAGATGGTATATTGTTGCAGTTTTCATGTGCATTTCTTTGATGATTAGTGATGTTGAGCAGGTTTTTATATGTTAGCCACTCATATGCCTGCTTTTGAGAAATGTCTGGTCATATCCTTGTCCTACTTTTTTTAAAATTTGAGTTGTCATCCAGGCTGAAGTGCAGTGATATGCTCATGGCTCACCCCGGCCTTGACTTCCTGGGCTCAGGCAATCCTTCTGTCTCAGGCTTCCTGGTAATCGGGACGACAGGTATACACCATCATGTCTGGCTAATATCTTAATTTTTTTTTGTAGAGATGATCTCGTTATGTTGCCTAACCTGGTCTTGAACTCCAGGGCTCAAGCAATCCTCTTGCTTCAGCCTGCCAAAGTGCTAGGAATACAGGCATGAACCACCACACTCAGCTGTGTCGCGTTTAAAAAAAAATTTTTAATTTTTATTTTATTTCCAAAAGCATTGTTTTTATATATTGTTTTTATGTTTTAGGAGTCTGTAAGTCCTAACAATTTTATGTCAGGAGTGGAAGAGACTCCTTTATCAATTCAAGGGCCTAACTTTTTAAAAAGTTATTTTTGGAGAGATAAGGTCTTGCTATCCTACCCAGGCTGGTCATGAACTTTTTAAAAAATTTGATTTTATTTTAAAGATGTGGTATACAAGTGGTCATCATGCAGGTAAAGATTGGACATATCTTTGGTCCCTATATTGCCTGGTTTGAGATCAGGTACCCTTATTAATGTTATGTGCTCCCCACTCCCCTGGCAGTTTCTGGCTACTACCAATCCCTTTCTTATAGTATTATGGTAAATGTTTAGGATCCATTTAAGTGTGAGAACATATGGTACTCAATTCTTTGTTTCTGTGATAAATCACTGAGTATTTTGACTCAAAAATCCATCCAAGTTGCTGCAATGTCCATAATTTTGTTCTTCATGACTGCATAGTATTCCATCATGTATTTGTACCACATTTTTAAAATCCAGTCCAATTTCAATGGGCAGCACAGTTGGTTCCACATTTTTGTTAGCATCACACTTCCAGACTTTAAAATTTATCATAAAGCTACAATAATCAAAGCTACCTGGTATTGGCACAAAAACAGGCATATAGACCAATAGAACAGGATAGAGATTCCAGAAGGAAAACCTCAATTTCTCAACCAACCAATCTTTGACAAAGCCTCCAATAACAACCACTGGGAGAGGAGAACCTCTTCAGTAAATGGTTCTGGGAAAACTGGCTGACCACATGCAGCAGATTGAAATAGGACCCTACCTGTCACCATACACTCCAAATGGATCAAGGACCTAAATATGAAACCCCCAAATTTAGGAATCTTAGCATGGAAATAGGAATAGGCAGCCAAGTCCTGATCAAAACCCCAAGTGCCCATGCCATAAGAGATAAGATAGACAAGTGGGAGCTCATCAAACTGATATGCTTTGGCAAAGCAAAAGAAATCATCAAGAGAGCATGAAGACAGCCCACGGAATGGGGAACATTTTTTGCCAACTGCTTATCTGACAAAGGCCTAACATCCAGGATCTACAAGGAACTCAAATATGCTGAACGGGGGAAAAAAAACAAACAAACAGCCCCATTAAAAGTGGGCAAAAGACATGAAGAGACACTTCTCAAAAGAAGACATAGGGGCAGCCAACAGGAACGTGAAAAAATGCTCAGACTCAGTAATCATCAGAGAAATGCAAATCAAAACCACATTGAGATACCACCTAACATAAGTAAAAATGGCCGTCATTAATAAAACAAGAAACAACACTTTCTATTGGGGTTATTTGCTTTGTGTTGTTCAGTTATTTGAGTTCCTTGTGGATTCTGAATATTATTAGTCCTTTGTTGGATGTATAGTTTGCAAATAATTTTTTCTCATTTTATAGGTTGTCTGTGTATTCTATTGTTTCTTTTGCTGTTCGTAAGCTTTTAAGCTTTATTTGGTCCCATTTGTTTATTTTGTTGTTGCTGCTGCTGTTGCATTTGTTTTTTGAGGACTTGGTCATGAATTCACTGCCTAGTACAATGTCTTGAAGAAAGTTGTCTAGGTATTCTTGTAGAATTTTTATAGTTTTAGGCCTTATGTTTAGGTCTTTAATCTGCCTTGAGTCGATTTTTATATATGATGATAGGTAAGGTTCAGGTTCATTCTTCTACATATGGGATTCCAATCTTCCTAGCACCATTTATTGAATAGGGTATTCTTTTCCCAGCGTGCATTTTTGTTGTCTTTGTCAAAATCAGTTGGTTGTAGTTCTGTGGCTTTATTTCTGGGTTCTCTATTCTGTTCCATTGACCTGTGTCTATCTTTATCCCAGTACCATACTATTTTGGTTATTAAAGCCTGATAGCATAATTTGAAGTGAGGTGATGCAATACCTCTATTTTATTCTTTTTGCTTAGGATTGCTTTTGCTATCTGGGTTTTTAAAAATTTCTGTATACGTTTTAGGATTGCTTTTTCTAGGTTTGTGACATCTGATGTTGGTAATGTGATAAAGTTTGTCTTGAATTATTATATTGCCCTGGGATGTATGGCCATTTTAACAATATTGATGCTTTTAATCCATGAGCATGAGATGCTTTCCTATTTGCTTATGCCATCTACTATTTATTTCATCTCTGTTTTGCAGTTCTTCTTATAGAAATCTTTTACCCCATTGTAAATAATTTTGTAGGTATGTTATTTTATTATTGTAGCTATTGTAAATGGGATTTCCTTCTTGATTTGGTCCTAGGGTCTTGATTTGGTCTTTGGTGTACAGAAATGCTACTGATTTCTGTACATGAAATTTATATCCCGAAATTTACTTAAATTCATGTATCAAATCTGAGGGTTTTTTGGTGGTGTCTTTAGGGTATTCTAGATATGAGAAAATATCAACAATAAAGAGATTAATTGACTTCCTCTTTTTAAGTTTAATTGCCTTTTATTATTTTCTCTTGTCTTATTGATCTGGTGAGCACTTTTAGTACTATATTGAATAAGAGTAGTAAAAGGGTATCCTTGTCTTGTCCACTTATTAGAAGGAATACGTTAAACTGTTCCTTGGTTAAGTGTAATGTTCTCTGAAGTTTGCCATATATTGCCTTACTATGCTGAGGTATGTTTCTTCTGTGCTTAGTTTGTTGAGAATGTTTCATCCTGAAAGGATGCTGAATTTTATTAAATGCTTTCTGAGGAACAATTGGTATGATCTTTCTTTTTATAACTCTGCTTATGTGATATATCATATTTATTGATTTGCATATGTAGAACCACCATTGCATCCCTGGATAAATCACATGATCATGGTGTATTGTCTTTTGGATATGCTGTTGGATTTGATTCATTAGTATCTTATTGGGGAGTTTTGGGTCATATTTATCAGAGTTATTGGTCTGTAGTTTGTATTTGTTTGCTCTTGTTGGGTTTGGGAATTAAGATGACATTGGCCTCACAGAATGAGTTAGGAAAGATTTTATCCTCAATTTTTTGAAATTGTTTAATGAGGATTGCTATTTGTTCTTCTTTGTATGTTTGGTCAAATTTGGCTGTGAATCCTTCTGGTCTTAGACACCTTTGTTGGAAGATATTTTATTACTGATGCAATCTTGCCACTCATTATTTACTGGTTAGTTCAGGAGTTGTTGTTGTTGTTGTTGTTGTTGTTATTTTTTCCTGGCTCAATCTTGGGAAGTTGTATGTTTGCAGGAGAGTATCCCTTTACCTGATGTTTTCTAGTATGTGGGTGTATAGTTGTTCATTATAGTCTCTGATGGTATCAGTTTAACATCTGCTTTTTCATTTCTGATTATGTTTATTTGAATCTTTTCTTTTCTTGGTTAGTTTGGCTAAGGTTTATGAATGTTATCTTTTCAAAGAAGCAACTTTTTTGGGGGGGAGGGGGTTGGTGTCTCACTCCGTTGCCCAGGCTGAAGTGCAGTGGCACACTCATGGCTACGCCAGTGTCAACCTGCTTGGTTCCAGCAATCTTTCTGCCTCAGCCTTCCAAGGTGCTGGAACTACAGGTGTGCGCTGCCACGCCTGGCTAATTTTTGATTTACTGTAGAGAT